GACAGGAGATCTCTGAGATACATTTTGTCTTTATTCAAGGAGCTTAAAAATGAATTTGCATCATCAGAAGATTGGAGGGCCAAGGGTTGGAGCCAGCTCCAAACATGAGAGGAGCTTCCTTTTGACTTGTTCTCTCACTTGAAATCTTCACATATTCTGAGAAAAGCCAGAGGAGGAGACAAGGTATTTGCATATGTTTTTGGTGAGCAGCAGGTCTGATTTCGAGATAACATCAGAAGTATGGGTAGGGCATATAATATTACTCCCTTCACCAGCTCCACCCCATTCCTAGATCAATATCCCACTGGACTGTAGAGATCAGAGGGAATTTTAGGTCTGGAGTTACTGATGTGGCCAGGGAGGAATGTGTAGATTGGAAGGAGAGATGAAACTGCTGTAAGATTTCCTAATGTCGATTATATCAGGCCCACGCAATGAAAAACATTGGTTATATGAAGCATAGAAGACCATCCAGACTGAAAGTCTTGGAACCCAGACACCTGAAAAATAAAATGGTGTGGGGAGTAGTTGTTCTCCACTTCCCCATTTAGGACGAGACAACTCCTACTAGATCTTTGTGGTAGGCTGAAGGAAAGGGTAATCACCTTCTTTCCATTAGTGCACACAAAAAAGGACAGCTTGAAGAGAGAGAGAAAGTGTGACTTGTCTTTCTCTAGGGAAGATGAGTGACCACAAAAAGTGTCCTCAGATATGAGTATACTACTATACTAGTGTAATTCAGAAGAAAATTGGCCTCACTGTGTTTTCATGGGAGAATAAATAGTTATTGATTAAAGAGACTTGTTTCCTTTGGAGGATTCAGTACTATTTTTCCAGATGAATTCAAGTTCCAGAAAACAAAACTATGGTGAGATTATCTCACTAGCTAGGTAATAAATCTCAAGTTTAAAATTTCAAGTGTGTGCATTCAGTCATTAGACCTGACAGAAAAATGTGGAAAAAATATTAATCATTTTCCAACCTTTGAACTTTTTTCTTCAATTTGCTTATCCAGATTCAACGTCACAACAACAATACTCATTATTTTTACATTTGAAAAAGTAAAGTAAAACAGAAGTGAAATTACAAGGTTCCCATTTTAAAAATCCTCATTTTTCATTCCAATTCAACTTTGTGATGAAATCTTGTCAATTTAGAAATTTTGATTAACTCTAAAATACCTTGAAAAGCTGCAGAAATATTTTTTAAAAGAAATCCTGAAGCAATAATACTTGTCATTGTTCCAGTCTCTTACAAAAGGTGCCCCCACGTTAAAGATCCAGGTTGTAGCTGTATCAGTCTAAAGGAAAAAGCAATCAGGACCTGTGGTAGAGGTGATATCTTTTATTAGACCAGCTAGATTTTTGCAAAAAAAATTGTATAATTGCAAGCTTTAATTGAAAGACTGCAATTAAGGACATTTTTTTGTAAAAATCTATTGGTCTAATAAAAATATCACCTCTACCATGAGTCCTGATTGCCTATGTTAAAGATATTTCCAAGTAATAATCCAAATTTGATCATTTGCATTAGTACTGAAAGAATCAGTGTTGCTATTAGAAAGCATTAGGACAGGGATACTTTCATAGGTGCATAACTGTGCATTCCATAGTTGTAATGGTTTGTTTAATTTACCAGATTGTTTCTCGTTATAACAAAATATTGATTTCCAGTTGAATTAATTTAAGATATAGTGTGCAAATCTTTGATTACTAGCTCTTGCTAACAATCAAAATACTTTTTTTTCAGTCTTTAAACAGAGTTTGTGAAACAGTATCCACCCAGTTTATCTTGGAGTCACTCTTGACTGGACTTTAACTTATAAACCACATTTCTAGAAAACTGCTTTAAAAATCAAAGCAAGGAATAACCTACTTGCCAAACTTGCATGCTCTGCTTGGGGTGCCAGTGCCCCCACCCTATGTTCATCTGCTCTCACACTGTGTTATTCGGCTGCAGAATACTGTGCCCCTGTATGGGCTCGTTCGTCACACAGCAAACTAGTGGACACCCAACTTCATGCGATAATGTGACTTGTGTCAGGCACCTTGCACCTCACTCCACTTCCATGGTTACCAGTCCTCAATAACATTGCTCCCCCTTGTCTCCACTGCAGAAAAGCTAAAGTCAACTTACTAGCCAGACTTCATGATAATCCTACACTGCCAGTGTACTGAGACATATTCCACTCACCAGTAGCTCGGCTCCCCTCAAGATGCCCAGTATGATCCACTCTTTCAAAAACCTTTGGTTTTCCTTACTTACTCAATAACACGAAGAATGGTTAGCACAAGCACCAATCAATCACCACATCATCTCTGACCCTACAGTCAGTCAACAAGGATTTAACTGGCCACACCATTGTAATCATCACCCCTCCATCAGACTCTCTCTTGAATACTCCTGCACCAACATTTCCTTTTTAGACACTATGATAATATGCAAAATGGTAAAATACAAACCACCATATACAAGAAACCCACCAATCAATATACACATCTGCACAGAACCAGCAATCTTCCTAAACACACCAAGAAAGCCATAACATACAGACAAGCTTTCCAATACCACTGAATCTGCACTGAGAAGAATACCCGCGATTGTCACCTTGTAAATCTCAAAAGAGTTTCACCCAACAAGGACACTGCTCCAGAGAAACAGATCCCACTTTTGAAAGAGCCACCTGGATACCATGTGAAGAACTGCTGAAGTACAAAAGGAAAATCCCTACGAATCACACCCCCTTAGTTATGACATACCATCCTTCATAGCAACCTATATGGAAAATCCTCCAACAATTGCAACCCATACTAGAAGAAGACCCAATTCTTAAAGAGATCTTTCTAGAACCACCTATCCTAGCCTTTAAACAGGAAGCGAAACTTGCCAACCTCATCACCAGAAGCAAACTTCCTATGGCCCAAAGCACACTGAATGGATCCAGACCATGCCAGGACAAGAAATGTAAAAACTGCCAACTCATCTCTATGACTCCCACAATAACTACATCCCACAACAGAACCATTACCATTCCTGGGTCTTACACCTGCACCTCCAGAAATGTAATATATATCATCCAGTGCACTAAATGCCCTAATGGAGAATATGTAGGAGAAACCAAACAACAACTGCGTACCAGATTGAACACACACCAAAAATCCATGGAAGACAAAAATATTCAATTACCTGTGAGTGCACTCTTCTCAGAAAACAGCCACTCTCTCTCCAGTCTCTCAGTTCTAATCCCCAAAGGGAACTTACAAAACACCTTTCATGGATGAGCCTACAAACTTCACTTCATAAATCTATTGGATACAAAAAAATCATGGACTAAATATAGACATTGGATTTATTGTGCATTACAACCTGCCTGCCATCCGACAGCCCCAGGTAACCCGTTTGCATTTTACGAGCTACATTCTCTCACCGGTTCAACATTCCCCCCTTTCTCCCTCCACCTATCTGTCTCACACCTATTGTCTCCCATTCCCTCTAATCCTCACTGTCATGCATTTGCAGTTTCACAGGCCCACATTTTGCATTTTGGCTTTTATTCCACCTAGGAGAACACACAAAACACCAGCAGACTCTCCCTATACCTAAAGAAAGGTGTTTGTGCCAGAAAGCTTGCAAAGAACATTTTTTCCAACTATTTAGTTTGTCTAATGAAAGATATCACATTTACCCAAAGAACCTTGTTTGCCTTGTCCTTAGACCAACACAGCTACAACCAACAACCACCCACGCCACTATTGGGCACTTTTCAACTGTTTTCAAATTGGACAAGGTCACTGAGCCTCAGACCTATAGCAATGGGGTCTTTGCAATGATAACAAATGTACTTCAGATCATGTCCCACACTTGACTCATGTCTATTTACAATGCTGCCTGATGGTCCTCAAGCTCTTCACATTGGTGACTGGAACAATATGCCGAAACCACATATGCTAAATCATTGGTTCCCAGTCTCACTGCATGACCCAAATCAGGGTTGCAGGGTGTCCTCAGTAGGGTCGCGAAGGGCTTTCACATACATGCACATGCACATTCACATGTACTGTCCAGGAGTGGTGGGTGGGGCAGGGCCACCATGCACAAAGGGGGCAATGCCCCCCGGGCCGCTGCTGCACTCTGCTTCCAGCAGCCCCCATGGTGCTGAGTCAGGAGGTCCTGTTGGTGGGCAATTTAGGGTTGCAGCAAAAAAAGGTTGGGAACCACTTTGCGAAATATATAAACTATTGGTAAAGGTTAGATTTTTCTTCTACAGCTATAATTATACCAATGCAATCCCAAATATGGACATGGTTAAAACAGTACAAAAGTGTTCATCATAGTATTCTTTATTCCCTTTTCCTTCCAGGCAGCAAACCTCTCAGTATATGCAGTTTTATATTAGTACAACTGTGTTCAGGCTAGGGGTTGTGTGGCTCATGTATGCTGATAGTTAAACAGTGCAGTTAAATTTGTGCAGTCCTTTGGGTCCAATCTTGGAGGCACTTACTAAAAGATGTAATGACACTACTATGTCCTGCTAAGTGAAATCTTGGCTCTGTAGACATCAATAGGACCAAGATTTCAACCACAGATGTCAAGGGGATAATTCAGTAGTAACCTGCTAGAAAGGTATGGGTCATCTTCTGTTTTATTTTAGACAGATTAGTAATGATAGTTACATGATTTCTAGATCATGGCTAATTAATTGTTTAGACTGTTATAGAGTCCAACAGGCTGTATTATCCATGACTTACAAGCATGTATAATACCTACTATTAATCCATTTAAAACCCTCTGTAACATATACTGCTCACAGCTGTAACATGTATAACTTTTATAGTGATCTATAAATGCCCCTTTACCATAGTTTGGGTGACTTTGCATGATCCCTCACCTATTTTTTTGCAATATTAAAAAGACTAGAAGGCAGTTTCCTGTTTGGTTGCTAATTATTCTTTCATAAATTACACAAGAAAGAATGTTGGTTGCAATGATATTATACCAGCTGTGGGCTGATATTCTTTTTATTTTGCTGTGAACTTTTTCTTTCAAGAAACAAACCTCAAACATTTGAAATGTCGAAGTTAGGCTTTGGGAAAAATATAATGATAATAATATTAATAATACTAAGCATTATTATTATTACTTGAGGTTTTTCAAAGTCAAAAGATGAAAGAAGGAGTTTTATTTCCTATAATTGTTTAATTCCAATAAATACAGACCCTTTTAAATTGAAATCTTCCATTGCAGTTTTGGGATCCAAAGTCAAAAGCACTGCCTGAGAAGTGGACTGGCTTGAAATAGAACAGTTTTGCTGCCCAAACAAATGGGCTCTGCTCAAGTATAAATTCTTTGAGTCAGATCCTCAGCTGGTTTACCTCCATGAGCTCTGTAGCTCTGCTGAAACCAATGGAGTTGTGCTCATTTGCATCAGCAGAAATCAGACCTGTGATTTTTAATCATTGGTAGTGCTATTAATGAACATAGAGGTCATTTTAAAGGCATGGGGACAAATCTTCTAGCAATGCAAACTGTCACAACGCCATTAATTTCAATAAAGCTATATCCCATAGCACTTGTGGCCCATTGAGTTAGGTTTTGTTTTCACTCATATGCTGCTGTAAATTTACTGATATAAATGGAGTTATAAGAGTGACTGACTGACATCTCCTGTGTTGTAGGCTAGCCCAAGGTAGAAGCACCGCTGACAGCCAATCCAATTTCAGCCCTATTTTGAGTACTTAAGTGGGACTTCAGTACTTAAGTGCACAAGCTATGCACTAAGTGCACATGGGGGAATTGCATCCCAAGTGAATAAGACCCAAGGCCCTGTGGCTTCTATCTTGATTATATCCCTTTTACATTTAGCTTTGATCTTTGCTCCTACAAGTTCCTAACAGAAGAAAGGTACCTCAGCTAGATAAATAGGCACAGCACCATTGAAGCCAGCTCATCTGTCCCTTTTATATCGTCAAAGCCTCTGACTCTTTGCTGTCCTTGGAACAGCTTCTTACATGCTCTGGAGGAAATTCTTTTTCCTGATTGCCTCATCCCAAGCAGAGCAGGAGAGACTGGAATGAAAGTCAGCAGTGCTAACACCTGGGTTAGGTGAGGAATACAGAGGGGAGGAAGCACCATCAGTCAACTTAAGTACAGAATCCAATCTTAAATTGTCTCATGGAAAGAAAACACTGGGTTAGACAGGCAAGACATATTAGATTTGTGTTATTAAAATAATAATAATAATAATATAATAATAATAAAAAAAGAAAAAGTACATATCTTATATATGTTACACTATGTTCCATAACATTTGTTGGGTTTCTTTTTACATATTCAACAGTATTTCATGGAGACGTCCTGGTCTGTAGCATCTCCCCCATTCTTTTGCTGTGTTGCATTTAGGAAGATATTTACAGGATATGCAAATTATAGCATGCAGGTCTAAAGACAACTGAAGCAGAGAGATGAGGAGGTAGGGCTTCTTGCAGTGTGCTTTGCCCATGTCATACCTTTATGGGTGCCCAAACTTTGCAGTCTTCAGGACAACCTTGCAAGGAGCCTGAAAACAGTACTCAGTTTGCCCATGTGTGTTCATATATCTAAATAAAAAGTAAAGGCACACAGACAGATGAGGTTATTTTAATATGACTTTCATTTTGGATTCCCATCTAAATCTCCTAGAGGTCTGGGAATCTCAACGTTTAGATATGCATGCACCTAAAATTTTAGCAGAACATGAGGAGAAATAACTCTGTGTTTGCCAGCCTCAAAATCCAGGAGCTGATCTGTGCTGTCCTCCCATAACAGGGAGAACGCAGCAGTGAGCTGGATTTCCTGAGGCCAAGGGCTGCATTTGGCCCTTGGGCTGCAGCTGAAAGGACCAACTTACATAATCTACCTGTGATGTTCACCTCTGTGTATAGGGACAGTAAGAAGCCTGTGCACTGGAGTCAGACCTGAGCTTGAGTGGAACTCAGCAGCCCCTTGGTATGAGGCTGCATCTACTCAGGCATTAATTCTTCCCCAAGAGTTCAGCTTGAGTGGTATTCAGTGCATGAGAATGCAAAGACATGCCTGCTACCTCTGAGAAGCACATTCATACACCAGCTGTCAGGAGTGGAAAGAGTCCCTCCTTTTTTGCTTTGCCTTTGCAGTTTCCAAAAATTTTAAAGTTAAACTGCTATTATGATAGTAGCTCACTTTCATGGTTGCCTGGAGGGGGTCTTTGCCCCTCCTCCTGCTGCTACCTGCAGATCAGAGGCAGTAGCACACATGAATGCACATGCATACACATAGACCCTTCCCCAAAGACCTGGAGGAAATAAAAACCATGGCACCAGGTCCTGAGCCAGTGGCCACTAAAGCCAGCAGAAAGACCCCTTCTGATTTCTGTGGGGCCAATGGGGCACATCATAAAACTCCCGGGTCTCCTGCTCCTCTACCTTACAGCTATTCACACTTGTGCAAAACCAATGCAGACTACTACCATTCATGGTCCAGGGTCTCAGCTGGTATAGACCGGCATAGGTCCCACTGGCTTTAATAGGACAGTTTGCATCAACTGGGGATCTGGACTCTTATTTGGTTGTGTTTTGCACTACTATTTCATGCTAATGAAAAAGGTTGCACAAAGGCTGAGGGGGATGGGGGACTGAGCCCTGTAAATCACAGCCAGTTGGAGGACGAGACACTTGGGGTGTGGATGACCCCTGTTTTTTTTTCTTCACTGACAAGTTTCCTAAGAACTCCACTTTTGGGCAAGGAGTTCATCAGTTTCACTAGTGCCCTCCCAGCCACCCAAGGAACACAGGCACCATGAGGGGGCTGGGAGGGATAATTCAGTTTGTTCATGCACTGTTCTTATTTGTCGCATGAACATTTTGCACAGAAAATACCTTTAAAATTTAAGTTCAGTAGTGAGACTGTCAGCCCAAAGCCCCACTGCCAGTCAGCTTGGGGAACGAGAGCCTGCTGTACCATAAGTGTGTTACAGGCCAAAGTCAAAACTATGTTACCCATAAAGGATCTTGTTATTTTTGGCCATTGTTACTATTACTAATTTCAGGCAAACTGTGAGTGATTCCCATATTGCCAGCAACCCGTGGTTTCGTAGCCGGAATTGTCTGAGCACTCAGAGCTATGCATCATTCTCAGGACAGGCGTAGAGACACAGATTCCTGCATAATATTCAATGAGACACCGTCTGGAATACAATTCCTGTCCTCCCCACCCCTAACAACAGTGCAAGATATTGCTCTCACCAGCTCAGGAAGCAATCAGGTACTTGGACCAGCTTTGCTTGTGGATTAGCAAACAGGGCAGGGGACTGAGTGAGGAGTGAAGGGGCCTTGTTGTAGCTGAGACCTGCAACCACTGATACCCATGAAGGTCCCCAACTCCTGCTGAAGTCTGTAGGGATTAGGCTCCTAAATATCTTTGAGGAGCTGAGACACACAGGCTGCTCAGTGTTGTTCTGGTAGAATATTTTAGGCAGTATTTTCTAGAAACTAAGTGGACATTAATTGCAATCTTACAATAACAAACCACATCACAGGCCTTTCAAAAAGCCTGATGGCACCCTGCATTTATATGGATGTACAAGAGATCAGAATCTGGGCCTTGGTACTCAAACTGCATATTCAAACTGAGTGAGTCTGCAAACTGCATGGGACCCAACACACTGAGTTTGGTCTAGATCATACCTATACCAGGAGTCACTTCATGGAAGTCACATGAGCCAGGCTGGTGTAAAACTTGGTGTCAGTGAGAAAGGAGATTCAGTCTCCTGCCATAAAGTCAGGGTCCCACTAAAGGGCATGGTTGCACTGATTGCAAAATGAGAAGAGCTGTCCATGTCCCAGCATTCTCAGGTAACTTCAGGTAATGTGGATGGTGCTGCTACCGGGAACTAGTGCTGCGAAGTAGAAGAGAATGGGACTCAAGCCCACCCCATGGTGGTGGATGAATGTCTATAATGACTGGACGTGTTAAGGGTCAGGGCAGTGGCTGTCTAGACAGCTTCACACATGACTGCAAAGGCAAGTGGGGGGCTGGCAGGATTATGTGCTGGGAGCAAAATGTGTGTCATGCTTATCCAGCACAGTTCAGCCAGGACGCCTCAGCCTGAACCCCACTGAGTCGCTCTCTGGGCTTCCCAGCCCTCTTGCAGGACACTGACCATGCCTTTTTGCACCCCCTTGCCTTTCCAGCATCTGTGGGATGTCCAGCGCATGGAATTCTCAACATCAGTCGTCCAGTGCTGGGTCTACCAGGAGTTCTGCCAATGGACCATAACCCTGAATAACTGGATCTCCACCATGCAGTTCTGACAGTGCCTTAACCCACAGTTCCCCTGCCTGCCAGCCCAGGGCCTTAGATAAGCCTACTAATGAGCCACCATTCTGAACCACAACATTCCTGGACCCCACCCTTACCCAACAACTATACTGGCTACAAAGAAAGGCAGAGGCAGTCCAAGATCTGAAATCAGCATGTCAAGCCAGGTCCTTAGCTGGCATAGATCAGTGTAGATCTGCTGCAGCTACCACAGAGGGAATAGGAAACTCAAAGTGGGCCATTTTCATAGGCTGTGGAAATGGACTGCAGAGCTGAGACTACTGCAATCCTATGAGGCTAACACTGAGCAAGGAGAACAAAGCGTTGAGACTTCACACTCAGACACCAGAAGCAGCAGTGAGAGGCAAGCTCCTCACTGAAAGGGAAAAGAGGTCAGAAATAAGGAGACATACAAACTTGGGAGGTGCCCAGATAGACTCATTTCCTCCATGCTTCTTCACACAATGGGCGCCACCAGCGTCTTCTTCCACTTTGCTCCTCATTAAAGGTTTGTCGTTATTGTGTTATTTTTAATAAACGTTAAGGGAAAAAGCCCACCCATGCACACACACACATGTACATACATGCACAGAGGGAAATCATTGCCAAAATATACACTATAGACAGGAGAGTCCATTCACACTATATATATATACAGAGTCTCTGGGAAGCAGTCTGGAGCATGGGAAAAGGGCAGGGGCTTCCATAAGGGACAGACACAAAACCAATCATGGTTTCACGCACTTCCCCTTCTTCTCCCGCCGCTGCAGTTTCCGGAGGCGCCGGGTCCAAGCATCCCGCCACTGGATGACCAAGCTATTCTTGTCGGCCATTAGTCCTGGCCGGTCAGTGGAGTTTTCACTGATTCCCATGACCAGGTACTTCTTGCTGATCTGAATCTTGGGGCATTTGCATGCCAAGTCTTTCATGTGGATCCACAGGAAGTTGTCACCTCGCTTCACCCGCTCATCGCGGCACTTGTAGACTGAGAGGATGTTGATAGTGAACTTGGCCCAGTTTGCCACGGTCTCCATTTCTAGGACATTCACTTGGACGACTGGGAGAAAAGAGGCAAAGAGAGATGCAGTGACTGAGACAGCAGGAAGGAGTTGGCAATGATACTATTTCCCTGGTTCCTTTAATAAAAGTCTGGCGACAGGCAGACCTTCTTGGCTCAATATTTGTATGATTGTTATAAAGTTCTGGCAACAGGCAAACTTCCTTGGCTTGGTATTTGTACACTTGATTCTACTTTTAGATGGGAGCCCCAACCTTTAATGAAACAATCTGTCTGGTTTCATAGCAGCTTCTGTATGGGCTGATTTAATGATATTTAATGGTTTCTCCTGGCTATAGTACTCGGTGACTCAGGAGTAGGGTTGGTTGAAATGTTTCTGTCAAAACTTTTCTCTTTTTTTTTTGCACTAAAAATGACTTTTTGATTAAAACAATTTTGTGTAGACAATTTTCAGGGAAAAAATTATTTCCAGTAGGCTGTTTTACATCTAAAATGCTCTAATTTAGGACTTGTTTCTACTCAGCATGTTACAGTACCAATGGTCTCTAACCTCCCAGGAGATTACTAAAGGAATCCATGGAAGGGGCATGGTTGGCTTGTCAGGCACTGTGTTGAGTGCCATTCCAGTGGAAATCCTGAGAAACTAAATGGGTTTAGCTGCAAAAAAGTCTGGCTGAATGGTGGGGATAACTTTAGAGAGCCGGACTCTTCTCACTCCAAGCTCACATTCATTCCAGCTACCTCCTCCCCCCACTGCACCCGACTCAAAGCCATCTGACAACCATTTCTATTGCTCTCCACCTTGCCAAAAACATCTTTTCTGCTAGAGCCAAGGGTTCCTGCGGAAGATCAATCAAAAAACTCTCCCCGACAAACCTCCCATCGCTCCTAAGTGTGAATGCACTTGTGTCAGAGTGATTAACAACGTGCAGTCAGGATCCTCTGAGCCCTGGCCTCACAGGGGTGATTTTCATCAGATTTCTCCCAAGCCCCCTCAGAAAACTAGCGCATGGAGAAAATGTTCTTTTTAACATATTTGGCAGACAGAGAAGGACGGAGGGGGAGAGGAGGAGAGGGCACGGAATTTTTTAGAAGGTTTGTTTTCATGAATCTAGTGCTAGTGAAAAGGGCCAGATTGACAGGCCTGGAGGCTTAAGGCCTCTCTGCCCCTGAGGCCAGTACAATACCATGATGGCAGTGCTTGATACCCTGAACTCACCCACCACCAACCCTCAGTACATTTCAGCACTGCTCTGGAAGGAGTGCCTTAGGAAGTGAGAGGTTCACATCGGATCTCTGGGGAAGGAGGGGAAAGGTGGCTTTTTCTGCAAACCCTGCTGTATCTAGAAGAGTGATACCCACAAGCACACTAAAGGCAAAAATCTGAGAAACTGCTGCCCTTGCAGTTACTTCCTGACCATGGATGCAACTCTCAGCCTCAGATGCCTCAGATTATTTAATGCCACAGAGCAACAAATATTCAGATTGGGACCTGCAATTTTACATCCAAGCCATTCATAGTGATCCCCTTTAATACTTAGCACCTACCAAGTAGGTACAAATTCCCATCAGCTAGCTGAAAATTAGCTGAAAGGGAGACTTTTTGTGGGGTATGGACATCAGCTCAACAGAAGACTGTCATTAGCCTCAAAGCAATCATCAGAGAGCAATGACTTTTAGTCTCTGCCGACCTTGGAAGTCTCTTCTGTGAGTGATCAGAGCTCTGGCTAGTTTGAGGGACGTGGTGTGCAGAAGATGGAGAGAATGAGCTGCTGAGAGCATGGGAAGGATGCTCTGATGGGATATGGGCAGGGAGGCATGTACTTGGGAGCACCTTGAGCAAATCAGGAATGGGTGAAACCATCCCAAGCTCACTTTTCTTCACAGCTAAATTGACTCGAATGCAGGGAGGATCTTCTTACCATAATCCTTCTTGCAGTACTTTTTCAGATTGATCTTGTAATTGCCTTTGGCTGGTTTGCAGTACGAGTCACAGTCTGCAGAGGAGAAACAAGGAAAGATTACGCTCTGAGTGATTTTAAAGAAGCTTTGTCTCAGAGACAGCATCACCCCCAGAGAAGAGGAGAAGCCTACAGATAAATATCTGCAGGACCCTAGCTCAGCAGTCATGGTGAATCAAAGAGCAGTAAAACCCAGCATCATTTTGTACTGCAGATTATTTACACACCAAATCCCCCTGATGCTCTCTGGGAGTTGTTTTGAGTAGATTCTCAGTTGGTGTAAATTGATGTAGTTCCTTTGACTTCTGCCGAGGTCTGTCAGTTTATATCAGCTGTGGATTTGGTCTACTGTGAATAATAAAACAGCAGAGCTCAAAATAAATGACAGCAGATGGTGAGAGAAACTGAGAGGCATGGATTTGAAGCTTGTTAGACAGGGACCAACAGGGCTTTTTGTGTATTTGCACAACTCCCAGTATAATGGATTCAGATCGACTCTTTGGGGGATAAGGCAATACAAATACTAAGAACAATGAGGAGGAAAGCAGCCCATGGGTGAGCTCATTTGAGATCTAAAATAAAATAGACGGTGGAGAAACACAGGCCGGCTGCCTGGGGTGGTAGGAGCAGTAAAGGAAAAAGTCCTTGTACTCTCCATAGCCAGACTGGAAGAAGGCAGCTGGTGCTAGTAGGAGCTAGGAGACAGGCAGAGAGAGGCCAGGCAGCAGATCCTCATCTGGTGTGAATTGGCACAGCTCCACCAAAACCAGTAGAGCTTAACTGATTTAGTCCAGCTGAGGGTCTGTGCCCCAGGTCCTTTTGGGTGCGCTGGATACAGTCCCACAGAGGGTGTTAAACACATCAGCCCAATCTCATCTCTCACATATTCCATTGCAGTTAGTGGCATTACACCTGGTTACATTTGGCCCACGAGAAATAGTTTTGAGCTGAGTTCTGAAACAGCTAGAATCTGGTGGAGTTCTCTGTGGAGTTGGATACAGTTGCATTTCTCAAGGAGGCAGGGAACAGCCTCTTTCTGCACATGCTAAACTGCAAAGGGCTGGGATGTAGAGTGGATAGTAGCAGAAACTCCAGGGACAAGAGATGAAGACGTGGACAAGCACTTCATTCAAGCACTGCAGATTTGCAAACATGGGAGATGCAGAAGGAGAAGGGGATCAGAGTCAAAGATACCACTTTCACTAGAGACATGGATCCGAAAGGAAGGTCAGTGCTCAGGGCACACAGAAAGGGATGGATCATTTATGAATATGTTCTGGCTCCTGAGTTCCCTCTCCGGAGCAACAGCCATGTTAAGAACATGCTGTGCTACCAGCAGTGTTGCCCTCACCCACCAGATCACACCTCCTCCACGGTATAAGTAGAGGTGGGTGGCCAGGACAGTAGCTCTGGGCACTGATTTTGAGGGAGTTCAGGAATGGGGGTGGCTGCCACTGGCCCAGCCACCATGACTGCCCCAGCCACTACCACCCCTTCTAGGGTGCAGAAACTGCTTGCTATGCCTCTGCTTCTCCTGGGCTCTGGGTGTGGTGGTAGGTGCTGCTGGAGTTGAGATGGTGGTGTCCTTTGGGCACATGCAGCAATATTCCAGCCCAATATGGGGGCAGGGGCAATCCTGCTCTCAGACAGGCTGTGCTTCCTGACCTGCTCAAGTCCAATCACCTGCATAGGGAGTTAGGATCAGGCCTCTTTGTACCTGTTTCTAAAGTCCCAAATTTGCTTGCAAATCAGAGTAGGGAAGTTTGGGTATGCTCTTCTGCTCTGCAACACCTTTGATCCCAACAATTTCACAAAGAAGCCTCTTCTCTTCCTTCCTTTCTCCTGCCATCTTCCTTTGAACATCTCAATTTGTCTATTTCCAAACATTTTGCTTTGGTCGTATTTTTCTAAGCCCATCTTTCTTTTGCTGTTCTTTCTTCCTTTCTTCCCCTCTCTCAGGTTTTCTGTCCAGCTTGGTAATCTTGGCTCCCTTTCGCCTGGGACAGGGCAAGCAGTCAATGAAGCTGTCTTTGTCTGTGAGCTGCCAGAAGGACTGGGGAAAAGAATAACAACCTCCCTGTGCCAATTTCCAAAAAAACGGAAGAAAACCAGAAACACAAGCTGACCCCAGATTCCACTGCGCTCTCCCTTTCTGCCTGGCTCCCTTTTATTTTGGACTTTGTACCTTCTGCTTCAAATTTGTCATTGATAAAAACAACTCAGCACGAAGCTAATTCCCCAGCAAAAGAGAATAAATGCAGTTCTATAACTCAGCCTGTCCCTGCCCGCTCTGCCTAGGCCTGTGGTGCCCAGGAGCTGCCACTCTTCGTTTGCTTTTCATCCATCTCCTCTCCATTTCCACGTGGAGAAGTGCAGAAACATGCGAAGGCAAACTTTATGACCAGGTCATTTGTGCTGTGCTTCTTGGATCTCTCATCCCCTCTTAGATGAATGTAGCACTGATGACAGATATCTGATTGCCAGCCCTGGAGACTGAAGGGTCACCTAGTCCAACCCTCTTCATGGAAGCAGGTTTTACTATACACAAATACTCCCTGACATGCCTAGCCAGCATCTTCAGTGAACAAAACAGGTACTCGGAACAGGTTCTGTGAAGAGAATAGGTACAACACAGCACAGGCAGCAGCAATGGTATAACTAGGAGTGGGTGAGTGGGAGGCCAAAACAGGAGCAGCAACCCCTCCCCACACACACACACACACACCCCCCGGCATCTTTGCCCAGGGTACCAATATTCCTATTTATGCTCCTGGGCAACAGAATGCCAGATTTTAAGTACAGGTTCAGCAAACATGTCTGGGATGGTTTAGACAGGGATGGATCCTGCCTTGAGCGGAGCAGGGGACTTGTTTTGCCTACTCAAGGTCCCTTGCAGCTATATTTTTCAGTGACACTACATTTCCCTCAAACCCTCCTCTTCCATTTTGGTGCAGCTCAACCATGGCCTTGTGACATCACATCTAGGGGACAGCAGGATTAATTCTCCATGGCCCATTAGAGCCTTCACCTAGTCTAGAAGAAAATTTTGTCCCAGGGCCTAGTGGTCCAGCCACATTGTCAAATTATCATTGTGGGTTTATAGGGCACATGATGTGCACCAGCTCAAAATGATGGAGAACTTAACCCAGAGTGTCCAGTATGTTGAGGCTGCATTGTGCCAGTGTCAAGTCATTGTCCTAAATCACAGGAGACCTACCCACGTGGAGCAGAAGCTCTCCTTCCCACCACCTCCCACTTTCGCCCAGCTATGGAAAATATTGTTTTTCTGCTACTTCCCAATCCAGCTTACTTCCACTCCAGGCTGCCATAACAGTCCTTCAGGTCTTTGGCAGTTGGCATAAACTAGACAAGAAACCATTAGGCTTCCTTAACTTTCATTGGTGGAATAGCCCGGTATTGGAAGTATGCAAAGATGCCTTAAAGCTACAGTTCCCTGACTCTCGGTGCCATAGCCATACATCACGGTCCTTATTTTTAGCTATGATATTAGTTGTCCCTAGATAGTATATGATCAACTTCCAAAGGTTCTCCAATCATTCATTCATCCAGCAGACTGAGTACAGGGGTACGCTTTATCATTTTTCCAGTGATAATAGAGTACAATTTCTGAATTTAGTTCCTGAACATTGAGATTGTTTGGCAATCCCAAAACAGTGATAAAATGTAGCTCTTGGTCAGTGACACTTGGAAAGAACAGGCACTAGGTTAGCCCAAATGGCACAATAATGTTATAAATACTATGCGATCCTTATCTTGACAGTGTTGTTTCATGTATAAAGCTATGAGTGGGATTTTTGAAAGCACTCTGTGTTGGCTCAGTGACACTCATCGAGGTGGATGGTGAAACTCCGATTGCCTTCTGTGGGATCAGAGTCAGTCTTTCTCCAGGTATTTCTGAAAATCCAATCTTCTCTTTAGTTAGCAACGTATGATCTTATTCTCAGGGATTCTAGCCTGTTCTTTACAACTTCTTATTTCACTCATCACTGTAGTATCTGCCCTCAGCAGATCAGCTCAACAAAGGTTCTAACAGGACAGCAGTTACAAGGACTTACAAAAGCCTTTTGGTGCAACTACAGAGGCATGAGCTTAAACCTTGCTCTGCTGCTGACAGCTTCCCCCAAATTAACTCAGCTGTACATGGCTACTTAGTCATTCAGGCTGGGGAGTCCAAGACAGGTGGATACGATGCTAGCTAGGGAACTAGTGTGTCTTCCCCATATCTGCTCAATGGACTATCTAGGCTCAAGGCAGACACATGAGCTGACATGGCACAGAGGTACCCAGGAACAGCTGAACATCTCTATTTCTCATCTCGTGAAATTCTACATCTGCGCTGAGACTTCAAATGCAGCATCCAGGGACCCCCACAAAGTACAGGCTTGAACATAAGAGGATCCAGGGTGAGTCATAGATTCTTATGCTAGTAATTTACTCTGCCTCTGACAGACATGAATTATTATTATCATGTGTGGTGCCCTCAGGCAGAACCAGGACCCCCACTGTGCTCAGTATTGCATGTACTTGCACCTAGGTTAACCCCCTTTAGGGGACCTCTTACAGCAGTAAGCATCAGTTTGTATCAGGGGTCTTCTCCTCAGCACCACAGCTGCTGGCAGTGTTGCAGCCCCAAATCATTGCATCAGGAAGTGACACTGTCCAGGGAGGTACTAAAAAGAAATGCACAAGCAGGAGGGACAGCAGATAGGGGAGAGCCATTCATGTCAAACATTAGTCTCGTAGTGCCATTTTCACAACTGTCTAAGAACCTAGCCATGGTTACAGACATGGCTTGATACCAAACATATCACATGCTTCAACAGTGCTGGAATCAGGTCAGGTAACAACTGTATTGCAACCAAACCCACTGACTTGGCTGTGTGTGGGCGGGGGGGTGACAGGGCCTGTGAGAGACTGGGATGAGTGACAGTTGCTAAAACTGCCAGCCAGCTCAAATTTTCCAGGACTGTCTTGAATTTCAGAGCTGTGTGCTGGTGCCCCCTAAAGAGTCCCTG